TTAGTATAAAATCCCTTCTCAAACTTAGTATAATTTTGATGGCAAAATGGGGAGAACAATGGCAAAAAGTCATTCATTGGAGAAGCTGGAAACCACCTATCACTACCTAAGTTGAATGGAGGTTTGAGCTTTCTTGATCTAAGGTTGTTCAATGAAGCTCTCATTTGCAATAAATTATGGAGGATAGCTACAAAACATGATCTGCTGGTTAGTAGAATTCTCAAGGCCATGAATTTTCCAGACTGTTCTCTCTTAGAAGCTGTCAAATCCCAAAAAAGCTCATAGTTATGGAATTGTTGCGTAGATGTTATGCCTGTGTTTGTCAAGGGGTTAAAAATTGAAGTTAGGAATGGAGTTCACACAAAAATTACTGATCTGAACTGGATTCCAAAGCTTCCACAGACCAAACCTCAGATGCTAGACATAGCAAGGGATCATCTTATCTGGGTTAAGGACTTGTTCCAAGTAGATGACAAAGCATGAAATGAGTAGTTGATAGGGCAGGTTTGTAGTGACTCAATCAATAAGGCTATCATTGACAACTAGTCCATTAATCAAGACAGAAATGATAAGATGTACTGGGCTTTGAAAATAAAGGTTGTTTCTCTATGACAAGCACATTCTCCTATCTCTCCTCTCAGAAGATGCTGAAACTTGATAGACCAGAGTGCAGTACTACCACACCAAGGAGCCTCTCAATCACTTACAGGGGCTGGGGTCTAAAAATTCAAGGGAAGATCAAGCATTTTCTGTGGAAATGTCTAACTGGTACTCTGCCTGTAGCTTCCCATCTTGTAAAAAAAGATTTGGATATTGACATCATATGCTCTCTTTGTGGAGAAGGCCCTGAAACTATTGAACATATCCTCCTAAATTGTGATAGAGCATGTAGAATGTGGGAAAAAGCCCTTGTGCAATGGGAAGGACTCAGAAGCTACTCCAGCTCCTTTAGAGTACGGTGGCAATGTGTCTGCTCTCTCAATCACTCTGATGTCTCTGAGGCAAGGATCCAGTTTCTACCTACCTTCTCTGGTGGCTCTGAAAATTCAGGAACCTTTGGATTTTTCAAAAGTCACAGATCCCAGTGCATAGGCTCATCAATGCAGCTCAAAAGAACTGGAATGATTTTGTCTTTGTAGCTTAACTTCTTTGTTTCCTTAGCTTTGATTTTTTCTCTATGTTTCTGCTTCCCTTGTTGGGTATGTTTTCTGCTTTGATTTTTGCTGGTTTTGGAATCTTTGAGTCTAGCTAGGCTTTATAGCAATGGATAGGCTCATAGTTCCTTTGTTTTTAAATCTTTGTAGTCTTTGAGGTTCTAGGCCACTTCTTGTGTGCCTCTCATGTATTTTATTTCTCCGGTTTAGTCGAGTCTCTTGTTGTATTAGAACTTTGTTCTCTTTGAGTTTATATATACCATCCATATCGTTTTGGACTTAGTATAATTTAAATGAGAATTTTTAAATATTTACATATTTATGCAATTCTAAATTAATCCCTTGCAAATGCATTAATTAATTAACATGCATAAATAAATAAATAATGGACACAATAAATTTAAATAAATAAATCCACTATTATGACCATTAAATATTGAGTCTCTTTAAACAAGGAAACCTTGTATATTATTTCTTTGTCCAACTGGAACTCCCACTGCAGTAGAATCCTGGTTGATATTATACTACTTGTACACTAAGTAAACCGTCAGCCACCAGCTGCTGCCCGCCGGACCGCCGCCGCAAGTCACCGGTCACCGCTGCCGGCGGTCGAAATTTTATTTTATTTTTTTGTTCCGCATCGCGCCGGTCGCGCGACCCCGATCAGGGTCTCCGTGGCCCGTGACTGCTGAGCCCTCCTCCGCCGTGCTCAACCGCGGCTCCGGCATTAAAAACCGACAGCCCCGCGCACTGCGGTGGTCTGCCGTTGATCGCTCAGGCCCGATTCCAAATGGGTCTTCGAGGTCGTTGATCCTTGTGATCTCCCGGTCATCAACACACTATCACAACATGAAAAATGTATATTACAAAGTTATATAATCTGATCCTAGATCCAACGAATGGATGCACATACTTTCTAAACAAATAAATAAATCTATTCGGTCAACCATCGGACGAATAATTATTACAAACATTCATCTATAAATTCATCGACATGTCTGAGGCTTTAAAAACAAATTTAAAACTATACATCACATTCAACAACATTCATCAAACACATAGTCGACCATAATAGTAGATTAAACTAATTCCTGCAAAACCGAGTTATGCGCAAGCATCTACACAACGACTAGTCTGTATCATGCGAGCCTCACGACGCCTCTCCTCCATGTTCCGACGAGCGGAAGCATCTACACAACGACTATACATGTGTCGGGGTCAAGAACTCTCATACTCGGCAACATACCTGTCCCACTCTTCATTGGTGGCTCGTCGGAAAGATCCATCAGCTAAATCCAAAATTTTAAACTAATAATTGCTAAACAAACTCTTTAAATTTATTTATTTTATTAAACGTTAAAAGATACTTACGATTATTATTAATAATATATATTAGACTAGTAATTATAAAATTTACTTATATTAGACTAGTTATTACGATTTTATTAATTCATTATAAAATTATACAAACTAATTATAATTTTTTGAACTTATATTATGTATTAGACTAGTAATTATATTTTTACCAAAATATATTTTTATATAATATAATATATGACTTTATTAATATATATTTATATAAAATATATATTAATTTTGTTAATCTATGTTAATATATATCACTACCTATTAATGTATATAAATTATTAACATATATAATTTTAAATATATTAATTTAACATATATATATGTATTAATTAGAAAATATTTTTCATTAATGATATAATATATATTAATAAATTTTAATTATTATTTTTTTAATTTATTATATAATATATATTAATATATATGAAATTATTTAAATTTATTTTTGACATTTAGAAAAAATGCAAAAAAAATATATATACAAATTGATTAATATATACAAATTTCTAATTTATATAATTTAATATATATTAATCTAATATATATATATATATATTAAGTAGAATTTTTTTATTAATGATAAAAATATATATTAATATATTTTTATTATTCATTTTTTTAATTTGTTATAATATATATATTAATATATATGAAATTATTTAAATTTATTTTTAATATTTAAATATTTTTTAATTTTTTTAAAAAAAAAAGCGCGAAAAAAAAAACACTCGGTCGCGCGGCTGAAGAAGGCGGACGGTCGTCTGGACGTCCACCCTTCGCGGCCAAAGACGGCACGACCGCGAAGTCAAGCCCGGCCGCACAAGATGCGGCCACGTTTTACGGGATCGTGTAGACCGGCCGCAATCGCCGACCGGCATTTTCCAAGCCGGCAGCAATTGGCGGCCGGTCGGCTTCAATAAAACAAAAAAAAAAATTTAAAAAATATTTTTCATGTTAAAAAGAAAATACCTGTGGAATCATTAGTCCCTTTCCGCCCCTTGGTTGTTGTCCCGCCATTTTCGGATTTTTTTTTTTTTTT